CTTCAAGAAGGTCTGGAAGGAGGAGAACGGCGAGGACCTGGCGGACCCCGGCCGCACTCTGTTCCTCTCGACGCGGTGCAAGTGCTTGACTTCCCCGAAGACAGACCAGTGCGCGTGCAAGATCCACACACAGCAAACTTATTANGCAAGTGCTTGACTTCCCCGAAGACAGACCAGTGCGCGTGCAAGATCCACACACAGCAAACTTATTACCTGGCTGCGCTTCGGGAGGTGGACGTGCAGGAGCGTGACGCCTGCAACTGTCGGTGGTGCAGCACGGAGGATGGAGGCTCCGAGTGGAAGACGATGTGGTCGAACCTGGGGTCTTTCTCGGAAGCCATCGCGTGCCCAAAGGTTGACCTGCGAGCTGGGGACCCCGGCGCCACAGGTGCGTTCATGGGGCGGAAGCTGGCATGCGGTTCTTCGAGCTGTGAGGTCTGTGGGTTCGGGCGGGAGGGAGGTATTCCCACATGCAAGGCACGGGAGGAGTCGCAGCAGCTGGTGGAGTGGACGCGCTACGAAGATCTCGAGAGGGAGGGGAAGAAACCGCTGCCGAACCAGCTAGTGACCAAGGAGGGCAAGCTCTGCGACCTTTGGGCGGATTCCAAGAAGCACAGCAAGGTGTACATGGATCACCACACGAAGGCCATGTGGGGGAGGAACTGTCACAGGGAGGACATGTACACGTTCCCAAATGGCGACCTGGTTATCGAGGTGGACTTCATCGAGAAGTTCGAACATGTCCCTCCATCCGTTCTGACCTGTGCGAGACACGAATCGACCACCCTCATGGTCGCAGTCGTACACTTCAGCCCGCAAGTGTTGGAAGGCGGCGGCAGGGTGCACCTCACTGAGACGTGGATCTTTGCTTCTGAAGACCCTCGCCACGACTTCGACTTCCACCTCCATGGGATGCATCAAATCGCCGATCACTACTTGGACGGAGACGGAAGCGCAGCAACTGCGGCCGCTGGAGAGGAGAAGCGGACGCCCCGCATGCACATTTTCACGGACGGCTGCGCCAAGCAATACAAGGGCAGGCGGAACTTTCGGTTTCTGTCACACAGCGTACGGCAGCTCGGCTACATCGTCGAGCACCATTTCGCCGTTACGTCTCACTTCAAAGGCAGCCACGACGGCATCGGCGCCAAAGCCAAGGGTGCCACGAGGAGAGAGATGCTCAGGCCAGGAGGTAAGCTCATCACCGGCGCGGCCGTCGTGGTGAACTTCTTGGCGGAGTACTTCAAGAGCATCGGAGACAGAACGCTATTTAGCTGACTTCTTCGCCTCGTGGACGCCGTATCGCATTCGACGGGTGTACGTGAAGCTCGTCGGACCAACGGAGATCCATCGGCCGGAGCCGGTCCTGAAGGGTATTAAAGGTACGTGGGACACCTACGTCTTCATCGGGGCGAACACGGCGAGAGACGCTTCCACCACCACCAGCCTCAGCGGAAACTCAAGCATTCCAGACGTCATGAAGAATGATTGGGAACTGGCGAGGGGAACGGAGACGGGGAAGGTGGCGGGAACGGAGCTGGTTGTGCTCACGGCGAGGAAGGTTGGGGAGGAGGAAGAGGGCAGCGTG